CGAAATCGAAGTTGACAGAATATCCTAAAATATAAAAACTGGTTATTCCGACTATGATATGTCTGGGATAAGCTGTCACCAGAAAACAAACAAGATGAGTGGAAAAAAGCTGTGCTGTTGTTTACGAAGGAGACTTGTTGCTCCACATCCGTCCCGTTATGATAATCACTTGTGGTTTTGACGCTGATGTTTGTGTGCCCCAGCCTTTACTAAAAGTGGGAGATATAAATTTCGGTCTGTCTGTAACACATTAGTTTTCGGGCGCCGTCTGAAGAAGCGTTTACACTTATTTTGAGGTCAAGGTGGTCATGCAACTTACGTAACTTACACTGCAACTTAAGTGTGTGTCAAGGCAGTGTCTAAGTCTGATCTGAAACTGTAAAATACCTGTGAAATATGACTTTACTTTGGGTAGATGGCCTGTAATACTCAATTCAATAAAAATCTAGAATCTTGATGGAAGACTTGAGAACAAACTGCATGGGGACGAATAGAAGTTTTATTGGAATAGACAGAACTTTCGTTTAAAGGCCTGTCTATGCTCACATTTTTCAATCTTTTTATGGAGCATACCTCAACTTTAATTTCATTTATTTTTTAGTACGCACCCAGATTCCAGTACCTTGGGTGACCTTATGTTAGACACTGGGGATTGGGACGCTGATTTGTACTTCAGTTCCAAAAGAGATAACGACATATAAAGTGGGAATGAACTATAATGGTTTATATATTTATATTGTTTTAATGTCTTTCTATACAGGAGGCATATGCATATTTCATTCAAGAAAATGAAGAAATCAAGAAAAGAGTACTTCAAACGCCACATAATTAACATTTAAGCACTCGATAGACCAGGTGGATGTAAATGCGGTAAATCCTAAACTATTCGCCTTCTTATCTCATAGCAAGCTGCGATGAAGTCAGCCAGCAGACATTCAAGGATACAATCAAGGATTTCCACAAAAAGGGGCTCCTGAAGATAAATGTGCACAGATCATTCGGAAAAAAATGAGGAAACCAAGAAAAGAGTGGTTGATTGATTGTATATTGTTTAACGTCCCTTTCGAGAATTTTTCACTCATATGGAGACGCCACCACTTGGCGGTGGAGGGCTACAAATTTTGTCCTATGCTCGGCACTTAGGGCCTTTGAGCAGTGAGGGATCTTTTTCGTGCCAGCACCTACTGCGACACGGGGCCTCTGTTTATACGGTCTCATCCGAAGGACCGGTCTCCACATCCCGCAGTGGGATTCGAACCCGCGACGTAAGGATTGACTATAGACCTTTTCTACAAATAATTACAGTTTGTCAACATTTTATAATGAAATTTAACCTATTGAAATAGTAAATAATTGTTCCAATTGCTTATATAGGGCCAAATAAGGAGTATACCTAAGATTCTGTTAGATTAATTAGCTTAATTAACTCATCTCTGAATCTTAAAAAAAAAGTTATTTATACGAAGAAAAAAGTAACAGACACGTAGCAAAGGGGAGGAGGGGGATTGTTCATTTAAAGCCCCCCCCCCCAATTTATACTACAGGAGGTTGATGTCACGGAAATGCGGAAATGTAGTTTTGAATGCGAAAAAAAATGGTACTAAAAGAAGCTTCACCACCCACCCCCTCTCCCCCACCAGGTAGGATTTTCGGCAATTTTTTTTTAGGTTCCACTTTGTCAACTTTTTGCATTATACATTTAAAGTTTGATATGGACCCTACCTACTGAATATCTAATATCTATTTAGATGAATAATTTACTCCATCTTGAAAGAGCAATATATGATAAGTGTCTCAAATGGCCCCTAAAAATGAATATCTTAATTTCACTTTATAAATAGCTTTAATTTGTACAGGTACACATGCGACCTTTACTGATCATTTTCAATTTGATCAAAATGCCGTTATTTTAGAAATATGACATCATAAAGTTCACGTTTTCCCGCAATTTTAGCAGATTTTGTATAAAATCGCTTATTTTCAAGCAGTTTTTCTTCCAGAAAATATACATGTTGAGCGCAGTCTAGAACAAACTTTATATTTTTACCAAAGATGTATCTATCCAATATTAATTAGTGATAGATAATTATGAATGTTCTACACTGCACTCTGTTTCTGATGAAAAAAAAAACATAAGAAATTTTTGTTTTTTTTAGGTTACATAGCAAAAAAAGCATTACTTCTCATGTCATTTACAGCCAGTGAGTGCATATGAATATTCGCCTTCTTATCTCACAGCAAGCTGCGATGAAGTTAGCCAGGAGACATTCAAGGATACAATCAAGGATTTCCACAAAAAGGGGCTCCTCAAGATAAATGTGCACATATAATTCGGAGAAAAAATGAGGAAATCGAGTGGTCGATCGGGACTAAAAACAAACTAGCAATTAAGGACATCAAGAATAAATATCAAGAAAATGACATATATTTTAGGCTTTTTTATGTTAGATAACAAAAATAGAATAACTTCTCCTGTCATTTACAACCAGTGAGTGCATATAAATATGAAAAATATATTGGAAATATTTCTAATATAATCTCTTCTACAAAATAAATATGATTAAAACATGTCTGAATATCATTCTAAACAGGGGGCCAAAATTGTATTTTAACATATACGAGGGTTGTCCCGTAAAATCGTGGACAAGTTGTCTAGTGTGAAAAATAAACATCACTGCGTTCTGAAATTTTCACTATTATTTAGTTCATATTTTAGTAATATAAACAGCAAATTTCAGATAAATATATGCATAAATAAACAAATTATGAGATTTTATGCCATGTATTGTATCACCTTACGGCGCATGGATTATAACGTCAAAGTGTCTAAAACAGCGTCACGTTTTATCTTTGCTGAAAATGAAGTTGGATGAGTCCGACTTAAATTTAGGAATTTCTTTGATACACATTTTTTAGTCTCCATAAACAGCCGAAGAACCAATTGGCACCCTCATGCGATCTTCTGAAGATTTATTAGTAAGTTACAGACAATATTCTCACCATCATTCAACTAACAGAAAATCTCATATCGGCGGTCTACTGTGACAGCGTCTTTTGCTATTACATCAGGAGTTTTTCCGTATGTTTTGTACTCCCCACGGACTCGATCAAAAAAATCTTCGCTAAGAAAACTCCTATTTCATTTGTATACTTAAGATATGGTGATATTTTTATAATCTTTTTTCTTCTATGGTCATTTCAAGTCTCTAAAGGTGTCATTACAACATCGAAATAAAACTGAACTGTTCTCCGGTTCGCCGTAACGTCATAAAACGTCGCAATTTTTCATGTGTTGTGTTTATCACTTTCCCATTTCGAATGTTCGAGAAACTGCCAAAAATTAAGCAAATGCCTTAAAGTTTTTACAAAGACTACAAAATTGATTGTGGAATTGAGTTAATCCAAATCTTATGTATTTAAAACTTTTATTTTGAATTCAAACTTGTGTATTCTTTAATAAAACCTTGGTTTTTTGACCGTGCGCCGTAGGGTAATACCTTGGGCACTTTCAAGCATAATAAAATCTTTATTTTTGCCTATATTTTAGCAAAAAAATTATCATGCACTTAAATGTGATAAATAAACATTTACTGAAATTTTCAGCTTAGTGCGCCCATTACTTTTCGAGAAAAACGCTTTGTCCACGATTTTACGGGACAACCCTCGTATAATAGTCCTTTGTTGCGAAGTATTCTCGTTTTATTTCTTTTTTTCATTTGAGATATGCTCTTGAATTAGGAATGATTTTATCTACCGATGATCGAGTTCAATTTTATGTGCCCTTCCGATACACACATGACGATATGGGAGAACTTTGTTTTTTGTTAACTTGTTTGTTTTATAGAAAATTTTAAACCAATGCGAACTGATAACATGTCAGTCATAAAAGTGGACGTAAGGTAAACAATTTGAAATAAATTGAAATATTAAAGGCGCAAAACACGCACAAGTCAACAACACAAATAGCTGTGATGCTGATTTGCGCGATGATGATTGATATAGTGAATCCTAGAACAGCAGCCCCAAAACCAACGCAAAGAACGCCATTGTTCCCTTGTGAGTTTGCATCAGTACCGTCCTTGTTTGAGAGGCCTCTGAATCCGAACGCGGAGACATTCACATCCACGCGTGAAGAAATTCCACAACTTGACCTTTGTTACCTTGATGAAACAAGACCACAGACCACTCAGACATCCCACTATTGACCGAGGCAGCACCCCCTACATCAACGCAAGACCTTTCTCCGGTTGTTGCAGTTAAAATTTGGACACCGCCTTCCAATTACCCTCTCAGAGAGGAGCTTTATGCTTTAAACGAAGTAGTAGATAGTGTCCCTGTAGACCTACTGCAGACATCTATGATCGTGAATCATATTCAAAATTTTATGAGAAAAGCTCCAGTGACTCTTTGATAAAGGAAAGTTTAGCCAAAGCGTTTATCAGCTAAAGAGCGATATATGGTAAGAGTCTCAATTGGCCCCTTAAAATGAATATCTTAATTTTACTATATATATAGCTTTAATTAGTACAGCTATATATGCGACCTGTATTGGTCGTATTCGTTTTGATCAAAATGTCGCTATTTTAAAAATATGAAATCATAAAAATCACGTATTCCCACAATTGTAGCATATTTTGTATAAAACTGCTTATTTTTATTTTCTACTTTTTTTAAAAAGTAGAAAATTCATTAAGAATTTAATGAGCATAGTTTATATCTTTCCACATTGTATAAGCCTGATCTGAAATGATAAATTTAACATTAAAAAAAATGACTGTACTTTGGGCCGTTGGACTGTAATACTCAATTCAATAAATTTCTTGAATCTTGCTGGAAGACAAACAGCATGGGGATAAATGAAAGTATTATTAGCATAGACAGAACTGTCAATAAAGGGCCTTTCAAGGATTAAACCTTTCAACTTTTTAACCGATTATACGTCAAATTAATTTCAGTTACTTTTTTGCACGAATGCAGCTTCTAGGACCTTGGGGGACCGTATGGTAGACACAGGGGATTCAAACGCTGATCTGTCTTGGATGTACTTCAATACCCCAGGCACAGCTAACGACAGATGGAATGGACATAACTGTAATGTTCTATGTAGTTATTTGGTTCCGACATCATTCAACATAGGAGACGACATGAGAAGCCATAATCTGACTGGTATGTACTTTGTTACACACGACAACGACTGGAAGACTGGCGATAACTTTTCTGCTATTGGGGTTAGAGGCTTAAATATTATCAATTGTGAACAGTACATTTAAGCACGGGGAATTCTGACGCTGATCTGTCTGGGATGTCATTCTCCACCACAGACAGATATCACGACAGGAGCAGTGGAGGTAACTGTGCTACTATCAGGGACGGAGGCTGGATATATATCAACTGTGAACAGTACATTATAAACACGGGGAATTCTGACGCCGATCTGTCTGGGATGTCATTCTCCACCACAGACAGATATCACGACAGGAGCAGTGGAGGTAACTGTGCTGCTATCAGGGACGGAGGCTGGATATATATCAACTGTGAACAGTACATTATGACCACGGGGAATTCTGACACTGATCTGTCTGGGATGTCATTCACCAACACAGACAGAGATAACGACTAAACGAGTGGTTTTAATCATACTGCGCTTTATATTTATATCGTGTTGATATCGGATCTAAATAGGACACGTTATGAGAAGGATTACACTACCCGGGATGTACTTTTATACCACATACAGAGATAACGACAGGAAGAGTGGAGCTCGCTGTACTGTTATATATTTCTGTTATGTTTATCTTTCTCAATTAGAGACAACATATGAAGCTATAATCTGTCTGGGACGAACTTTAGCACCAAAGATAAAGAAAGACTAGAAGGGCGGAAAAACTATGCTGGTACTGGCGGCTATTTGTTGTACATCTTGCACGAGTACAGCTGCCAAACCTAGGTTGACAGAATATCTTAATATGAAAACAGTGGTTGTTTTGATCTGTCTTGGATGAACTTTACACCACACAAACAAAAGGTCGGGAAAAAGCGGTGCAGCTGTTTGCGAAAGAGACTTGATGCTCCACAACCTTTCAGTTATGATAACCATTCGTGATTCTGATGTTTGTGTACCCACGCTTTCACTGAAAGTGGGGGATATTAATTTCGGATTGTTTGTAACACGCGCAGTTTGGAGAAGACTTTAAATTTGTCTATGGCCTTACGGAGGCCGCTACTTATTTCAGATCTTAAGATCAAAGTAGAAAATTCATGCATCAATCAGTATTGTGACGACGTAATCCTGTATTCTGACGAGCAGATGGAAGGTCTAACTGCATTCGCACAAGTGGTATTGTTATTGGAATAGACAGAACTTTCAGTAGTCTTCTAGGCATATAATTTTCAATCTATTAGCCGAGTATTTGTCAAAATATACTTTTTCCAAAAGCACAGCTTCCAGGACATTGGGTGATCGTATGTTAAACACTGGGGATTCTGAAGCTGATCTGTCTGAGATGTCATTCAGTACAACAGGCAGAGAGAACAAAAGAAGGAGTGTGTATAACTGTATTGTTCTGGGTACCACCTACCATGGAGGAGTCCGCTATTCGCATGGAGGCCATCAAGTGGCTAGCTCACAATCTCCTTGGCGAAGAATCATTTGTCCAGAACCTTACACAAGATGAACTCTTAACACTGATCTGTTAGGGATTTACCTCTTCCTCAGAATGAAAGAATGGAGGTAACTGCTGCTATTAGGGGGACGCTGGATTTTTGTCCCCCGCTTGAAAAGTGTGGGATATTAATTTGGGTCTGTCCGTCCGTCATTCAGTCTGTAACTCTTGTTTCGACACGATATCTCGAGAACCCTTCGGGCTTTTGCAATGAAATTTCATTGCGTATCAACTCCCTGTGAACAAAAGAAGAACCCTATTGATTTTGAGGTCTAAGGTAAGGGTCATAAATTCGAAAATTCTGTCTGTTATAACACTTTCGTTTCCCTGCGATATCTCGAGAACCCTTTGAGCTTTTGCAATGAAATTTTACATAACTCACTGTGGCCTAAGGAAGACCCTCAAAGTTCAAGGTCGTCAATTTATACATTATGTCTGTGTGTAGCACTATCCTTTCCTGGCGATATTTCAAGAGGATTTTGAGATTTTGCAATGTAATTTTGAACGAAAACTCCCTATGACCTCTCTCACCCCTCTCAAAGTGTCCCGCCCCGTTTGTTTCATTAGTATTTATTGTATTACATGTCGCTATTTTAGCACAGGGGAATGAGGAGTGTTATTACGTATAAAACAGGTTATCGGCGGACTTTATATTCTTATTACAATAGAACAGTTTAATAAAGGTTAGATTAGACACCATGCATTGTGTAAAATTTTGACAATATCGAACGTGAATATATAAATACCTTTATGTTACTTCATCTTTGCATATGATTTTCGTTACTTTACAGCGTTTGCGTGGTGTAGAGGTATGTCTCTCGCTGCACATGTGAGAAGTCCCGGTTCAATTCCCGGACGATTCATTTTCTTTTTTTTCTGAAATACCTTTTTTTTTTTACTAAATGATAGTATTCAGCATGTGAAGTGAAAACTTTATGAGGTTTAGCTTGTACAAAGTCATGAAACCATTATTACTGTGTGATAATCCTTTATACACATATTTAAGAATAAGCAATCAAATCTTTATATCCATATCGACACATGAAGTTTGTTTGCTTCAGTATTCATGTATACATTTCATAATTCTACAAATTCAGACGGGGGATCCGATCCCTTCTCCCCCCGAATGCGCATGGTTTACTTTTTCCCTTTAGCGGGGGACACAAGTTCTCTGAATTAGCTTGTTCTCAACTGTGAACAGTATATTATAAACAGCAGGAATTCTGACGCCTTGCATTTTCATTGCAAAATGAATTTCAATTACTTTTTGTATACGATCGCAGGCCTAGGATCCATAAAACTTAGACGAGCTCACTTTTGATCTCAGTCTCCCTTTTCAAAGGATTAAATAGTGGAAAAGGGAGACTGAGAGCAAATGTTTTATGGCCCCCAGGTCTTATTCAAAGACTTTTGGTGACAGAATGCTAGACACTGAGAATTCTGACGCTGATCTGTCTGGGATGTCATTGAAGCTGGAAGACATTTTGAGAAAACATTGAAAAAGATTTTTGGGGTATCTCGGTCAAGCACAGATTCGCCAACTTGCAGCCATTAAGTGATTTTTGTGAACAGATTCATTACAATGAATAGCTCACACAAGCCATAACAACGTAATTTTAATCTTTCTCTCAGATTTAATGAGTACTCTACAGTTTCAAGGGGAAAAAAAATTGGATTGGACAGGATTATGGAAACGCATGATTTGTTAGAATGTAATTAATTCATTGAAAGTTAACATTTCTTTTAAATATACTGCCATTCAAAGAAAAAGTGCCATTTGAGAGTAGCAACATTATCCAAATGTAAGGATTTTGGAAATAGTAAATACTAATGAATGATTGAAAATCAAGTTTGTTGGACATGTTTGAAAAATGATTAGAAGAGCTACATTGAAATCAAACATTTGGTTTAGTTTGGGGACATTTTAGGGATTGCTAGTTTCTTGGATCTTGATAGGGTGGTGTAATTTTGACTGATTATTTTTTTGCACATAAAATTTGTTGAAGTAATTCACTGTATGGTATATATGCTACAACTTTTACTGAATCCTTTCTATTAGGAAATACCTTTCATCATCCAGATTACAATGTTTTTGATATATATTATTTGCCATTATATAAAAGAAATGCATTGGATATACAAGATATGTTTGTAGGGCGATTTTAACACAGGGTATTTTCAACCGCTGTGCTCTAGTATAAACGAATTAATTTGCATTATCTCTAATATAAGAAAAAATACGTTAAAAATTGTTTGGTTGCCCTCTTTAGAGCGACTGACTAAAAATGCCCTAAATCAAAGCTTTTTTGACTTTCCAGGAAAATATTATTTTTTATTTATTAATAACTAATTAATATTTACATTTCCAGGTGTTTTTAAATTTAAAAAAAAATTGTCTTTACCTACCTACCCCTATTTTTTTTATCCTCAGTGTGGAGAGGGCAAGCAAACTTATTTTCAAAGATGGCCTAAATTATTCTGTTGTAAAACACAAAAGATTAAGTAAAGATACTGACAACAAAGAAGGTAATTTTAAAATGTACCTAAATTGAATTTAAGTTCCAAAATTATTTTTGTAAAATGTCAACAACATAAAAATTGTGTATTTAAATATCAACTGTTTTATCTAAGAATCAATTTTATCCATCAGTGTAAAGGTTGAACTAATGTTTAATTTAAATTACATATGAATTACTAAGTATATTTTGCATACGGATAACAGCTACTAAAAAGTGCCTCAAATTTGCCGTTTATTGATATTTGTAGACGTAAATGTAGGTACTTAGCATTAGTTATGTGGCTAAATATTTTCTTATGTATGCTGTTTAAATTTAATAGTTACATATATATGATATAATTACAACCTTAACATGATTAAGCCTTGCATTTTCACTGGAAAATGAATTTCAACTACTTTTTTGTAGTTTTGTAGTTTTTGATTCACAGACCTTGGGAGACGCAATGTTAGACACTGGTTATTCTGACACTGATCTGTCTGGGATGTCATTCAGTACCCCGGACAGAGATAACGACAGATGGAGTGGGTATATCTGTATTGTTCTATTTTATAATTTGTTACTTATTTTGTTTCTATTTCATTCAAAAAATGAGAGTCTGCTGCAGTCATGGTGGAGACTGGAATTTTATCGACTTTGACCAGTACATTAAACACCATGGACTCTAACACTGATCTACCAGGGATTTACTTCCCTACCTAAGACAGAGATAATGACAGAAGCAGTGGTGGTATCTCTGCTGCTATTTGAGGGTTGAGGCTGGTTATTTATTAACTGGGAACAGTATATTATAAACATGCGGAATTCTGACTCTGGTCTGTACTTCACTGCCTCATAATGACAGATGGAGCATTTGAATTCTTGAGCAACAAATGAAAAACGACTTCGTTTTACAATGTCAGGAACACGCATACAGGTAATGCAGTCAGGTAAAATTCAGTATATATACGTAGATATACGCAAGTCAGTGTCGCTCACTGGAGGGCTTCTCATCCGCTTCGATTAAGGTCCATCCTACACCAAACTTATCTAAGGAAAACCCACTGGTTAAAATCCTCAGCCTTTACAACATGAACCAAATTCAATCATTAGAAAGTTGTATGATGCACAGGTGACCTCGTATAAGGTCCGTGACTCTCTTGTTCATCAAGAACTCGTTTAAAATATTTTTGTTCAAAACATTATGGCTTGAAATACCTTATTATAATAAATCACATTTGTAAATGTTCACTAAAAACATTTCTCAAATTTGAAAAACCTTTCCTCTACTACAGCTTGACCTTCAGGTGTTTAAGAGATGTTTATGATGGGAGGGTTTGGAACAAAATTTCCAAGTTTTGAAAACAAATCATTTTTGTCTGATGTTTGAGGAATAGGTTTAATGATGTACATTGATTGGTTCCAAACTTTTAGGTATATGAAAGACAATGCTGTAGGTGTAA